TTAAATGATTTTGCATTTGCTCTTATAGTTATGACTGTTAGTTTATGTTATTAAAAGCATTAGTGGTACTCTGTGACTATATATAGGATGTCTTGTTTAATTGAGTACAATGAAATATCTTGGAAGGAATTGAAATTACAAAAGAATATTTGTACAAAAGTTGTTTGGTAGGACGAGCTATAGTATTTGTAGCTATACTAGTATTAATAGCTTTTTGTGGGTGAAGAATTGAGAGATTTTAAGAGCAAATTATATAATTTTTTTTAATAGAATACTATATTTTTTTCTTATTGTGTTATACGTGTTACATATTATTTCATAGTTATTTGATATAGAAATACTCGACACCATTGACTCTTGTCCATCGACTGATGAACGTCAATATAAACTAACAATTTATCTTCATCAAACTCAGAATGTCTAAACTGTGCTCCTGTCCAAACTATTCATTCTTATTTGTAATATTTCTTGTTATGGATAATAATGATATAAATTAATATGGTAATATCAGATAGGACATCTTGTATATAAAGATATATGTTTCCTTTTGAAAGAAAGTCATTCTTTTTACAGATTGGAAATATTTAACTGATTTTACAGAGATATTATCAAATAGAATATTTACTAAAACCAATTATTATTTTTAGTTTAATTATTCATTTTCTATTTAACATGATGACTTTCAGGTTTAAAATTATTTCAAGTACTGCCAAAGGTTTTAAATGTACCTTTGAGTAGAAGTAAATATTATTCTGTTTATAAAGAAGCCACAGATAAAAAAGAATCATGGTCCGATCTCACTGACAGAACAGTGAATACAGCATTTCTCACAGAAATTGCTCGAGGGATGGCAATTACGTTGTCCTATTTATTTAGAGAACCAGCAACAATAAATTACCCATTTGAAAAGGGTCCTTTGAGTCCACGATTTAGAGGAGAGCATGCATTAAGAAGGTATTTATGAAGTTTATTGTTAAAATAGAAGTAATTACATTTTAAGAGACTTCAACATTATTTTTATGATACGATATAAATTTTAAAATATTAGAAAAAGGTACTTGTATAATAAGTAGGGGCAAGGTACTTTCATGGTAAAAAGTCTTGATCTGCAAGTGAAGAAATGAAAAGAATATTATACGAATTTCTGTATCGCAGAATTATAAATAAATAGGTGGTTATATTGATCTAAATTGATCTAAAATTTTAAACAAAAATCTAGCTATAGACTCGGTGTGAGAAGGATTTTTTCTTTCTTAGTTTTCCTCTGAATTATACATTGTACTTGAACTGATTATTTTTATAGTAAGCAATTCATAATAATTTCAATGAGTCTGTGGAACCATCATGGAAAAATAGAAACTATGTGACAGAAACGATTCAAAATAAGTTTCAGGCATAAACATATGAAAAACACTATTATAGACAATAGTTACAACAGACAATACTTTTGGCACACATTAAAATAATAAGTTATACAATGGAGGTATTTATTATATTACATATTTACACGTGAAATTTTCCATTTTGTTAACTTTTTCACATTATAAAAGATAAAATACAGTATTTCGTTTAAAAAATAGTACTACTAGCAAAATTTGAAAGACATGATTTCTATATCATTATATATATCTTAAGAATAATTGAAGGTAGCAGAGTTATATAGGACATTGTATGCAAGTGACACACAATGCAAATTCAGAGTTGTTTTTGAACAGGGAAATAACGCGGTTAAATAAGTGGAAGTTCGCCAACAAAATGGCAGAATATTTACAAAAATATGACTGCACTTTGTAATATGCTCACATTAATTAACTAATGACTAATATGTCAATAATGTGTGTTAATAACTAATGTGTCAAGATCTGATTATATTATTTTTTTCCAGATATCCTTCTGGAGAAGAGAGATGTATTGCATGTAAACTATGTGAAGCGATTTGTCCAGCACAAGCTATTACCATTGAAGCTGAAGAAAGAGCCGATGGATCTAGACGAACAACAAGATATGACATAGATATGTCTAAATGTATTTACTGTGGTTTTTGTCAAGAGGCTTGCCCAGTGGACGCAATCGTAGAAGTACTTACGATCAATATAATTAGATTTAGCGAAACTTCCGAAAAAACCACTCACACTCGATTTGGTTGAAATTTTGCAAATAATTAAATTTTACAATAAGACAATGTTTGTCCGAAGCATTTTCTGTGACTCGATTTTGCAAAGAATGCTTTTACTATTCTTTTTAGATAAAAACACCCAGAACTAACACAATTACAAAAGAAGTTAGTTTTAAAGAAGTTATACCGTTTTAAAAAGTATCCAAACATTTTTGTTCCTCACTGTATATCACCTCTCACGTAACATTACGGTACTTAAGGTATGAACATAGGGTTTGATCCTATAAGGATTTGATTGTCGCCCTTAATTGAATTTCTTTGAAAACATTTGATAGATTACAGACTTTTATTGAACTCTTGTTTTTGTAAAAAGTATTATAAAAGTATTTTCATCACTCATCATAATGAATTGAAATTTCTACGTGAGGGGTAGGGGACAAAGACAAAATATATCAAATTTTGGCTATGGGTCTTTACTAATTCTCAAGACATTAAAAGAAAAATGTTGGTACAATACATTTGGTTCTATTTACAGATCTGCCTTCTACATTTTAGTTTAGTTTTTATTAATAGTATTATTAGTTCTTATTTTGTTAACATATTGCAAAGAACCATTGCCAAAATGTTATACTTTGTATTATTTTCCCTTATTTTGATGAGGAACTTACACATACTACAACTAAACGTTGTTAAAGCTTGTTAATCGATATTGTACCGCATTATATGTATATTACGAATCACGTAGCACTCTTTACAAGGATCATTTTTTAAATGTTGCCGAGATCTAGGAATAAGTTAGTGATTTAACATCGGGAAAAAATTTTGCAGATTTATCAACTTTTGCATACTTCTAATAGACCGATTCTTTTCTTTGCATATACAGTATACAGGGTGTCCCAGGTTTTAATGTTCAAACTTTGTCAGTATATTCTATGGCACAAAGTAAGAAAAAAATGTTATGTAAACATAGGTCATATAGAGCTTTATTAAGAAGTTATAACAAAAATTCAGAATAGGAATAGTAATCAACTAAAAAAAAAATAAAAAATAAAAAAAATCTTCGATCGATGTCAATCATGTATTGTCAACAACGGTTATTAATACATTTCGAAATGTATTAATAAACACAGTTTACATAAACTCACGGAATGTGCTGATCTATTCAAGCCAATGCTCGCAGTAACAGCAAGTTGATTACTATTCCTATTCTGAATTTTTGTTATAACTTCTTAATAAAGCTCTATATGACCTATGTTTACATAACATTTTTTTCTTACTTTGTGCCATAGAATACACTAACAAAGTTTGGACATTAAAACCTGGGACACCCTGTATATTAGCTTCTATAAATATACCGGATATAGCATTTAAAATTTGTCACCTGAATATCTATTATTATTGATGTTAACACATTGACAGCTGGCGACCTAAGAGACATTTAAAGCCACTTAAACCCCGAACGCCGGTCTTATTCGCTTGTTTCTGATCACTGAATAGCCCGAAAAGATATTTAAAACATTATATATTTTCGTAAAATAGTACATTTTATTTGCATATTCTTCATACACAAATTAACGGTAATTAAAAATTTAAATAAAATCGAAATTTTTAATTTATAATTATAAAAAAAATACAGTTTCCCATTTCATGGTGGATTATTACATATACATAACGTAAACCGAAAAGAAAATTTTAATATNAGTACATTTTATTTGCATATTCTTCATACACAAATTAACGGTAATTAAAAATTTAAATAAAATCGAAATTTTTAATTTATAATTATAAAAAAAATACAGTTTCTCATTTCATGGTGGATTATTACATATATTTATTACAGACTCAGAAATTCGCGTTTTCGCGGGGCCGGCGCTCAAGCGACAGACTCAAAAACCCGCGTTTTCGCGGGGCCAGCGCTCAAGCGACAGACTCAAAAACCTACGTTTTCGCGGGGCCGGCTGTCAATGTGTTAAAAATAGAGAAAATTATATGAATGTGAATAGGTTTGAAAAAGATCTACAATGTCAATATACAATCCGGTGATGTTTTCTTATTTATATTCTGATAAGACATTTCAAGAAGACAAATGCAACTATAAACAAATTAATGATACCATATCATAGACCTTCCAAAATTAAACAACTTTCATTTGTTGTACATTTTTCTAACATTAATAGCAAGTGAGATATTCAAATGACCTATTCTAAATACTGACTTATTGAAGTTTAAATATTAAGTGGTCATAATCATACCTAACGGTATTATTGCTGATTCGAAAATTAAATTGAATCTTATTACATATGGTACAAGTTTTAGGACAATATTGATTGAACTACATTTTCGTTCTACTATACAGAGCAAGGCAAAATTCAGGGTACTGACGAGGTCGAGAAGATATCAAAATAATGCCAAAATCAAGTGTTACGAAATAGTGCTAAGAGTTCCGTCTTCAAGAAAAAATGCTATTAAAAATCAATGTGATACGCATGAATTTAAGCAGCGTTATAGATATCACTGCGAACTGTTCACTACAAATTAAACTGTGTGTTACCATATCCTGCTCAAAAACAGTCATAGTAATGATCTATAGTGAAATCTGTTATGCCAGCCGTCGTTCTAGATACACATAATTCATAATTGCATTTTATTCGAAACGAAATCTTACACAATTTTGTTATTCTTAATGTTTATTTTATTTTTAGACGTATTGCTTCACTGACCTTATTTTTATTAAGAAATTTGGCCTGGCCTGTATAAAACAACTGCCTCACAGATGTTGTGTAAAAATTATACTTTTCTGGTAATAATATTACATTAATATATTTATTATTAAACTTGTTGTAGGGTCCAAATTTTGAATTTTCGACAGAAACACACGAAGAAATGTTATACAATAAGGAGAAGCTGCTGAATAATGGAGACAAATGGGAGTCGGAAATTGCTAGTAATATTCATGCTGATCATTTATATCGTTAGACAATTTGTAGAATGTAGTAATAACTTGTATGCAGAAAATAAATAATTAAAATTATTTAATATGTACAGTTTATTGGATTAGCCAATATAATGTATTAGTATTAATCTATGACTTGATTTTACAAATAATAATAGAACTGGAATTGTTATTAAATAGTGTTTTATACTCTCTAGTTTCCAAGATATTCTCAAAATTGTGTTTTTAATTTCCAATTTTTGAAGATGTCATCCTGTGAAAATAAATGAGTTTTATTAAAATTGGCACACATAGTTAGAATATCCTTTGTTAGATTAAAAATTTATACATGCGAGTCGTGTGTGAACTGAACTAATTATTATTCTATTAAAAGGAATAGAAACTAATTTATAGAAGCAAAAGGTTATATTAAAGAATATTAATCATAATTTTAAGGACTAAAAAACAGTTATTTTACAATGTTGAGAAATTATTTTTTAGCTATACATTGTATACATTTAATTATTTATATTATAATAATAATTTTAATTCTAAAAGTTTGGTTTAATAGTACAGAAGATGAGTACGTGCGGATGGTACAATCAGAAGGGTGATAGTTCCACATGTTGGAGTTTATATGTATGTCGTGTCAGCTAAGTCCACCTTATGTATAATTTTTCTGGGTTTTCCAAGTACAGTTCCATGTGAATGATATGTGAATTTAAAATATTAATGTTTTATCGTGACTTTTTAATTAGCTGATTGTGGAGCTCGCTGTACAAACGGAGCAACTACTTTTGATTTCAGTACTTTCTTCAAATTCAAATCAAATATACAATGGACAACTATTTCTGATTTTAATACTTTCTTCGAAAATTAAATAAAATAATAATAAATACTTTTTGGAGTGTTCTTTTTATATCTTCCGGAGTTTAACGTTTTATTGAGTTTTTTATATGGATTAAGATTTCATTTTTTGTATTAAGTAACATATTTTGGCGAGGCTATGTTAACATTTCTTGGAGGTTTTTTTGAACAGTTCATTAATAACTTTTGAATGCTTTGGGGGATTAGTTGCTTTTCATTATTATGTTATGGATGCTGTTTGAGTTAATTCATTGATATGGAGGTTTTTTGTGGGTTAAATTGGACATTTTTTTGCGGGAACCAAAGTCGAAACCGAACTCGACTACTTGATGTTTTTACATTGCATCGCAAATGTTTTTTTAGAGGTTGTAATATTTGGTTACAGTGAACCTTTATAATATGAATATAACCTTGAAAAAATAATAAAATTTGTGTATATTGCTAAGGTTTTAGTTACGTTCAATTGCTTATCGGATTGGTGCATACAATTTTAGATACTTATAATTATAGCTATAAATTACTTAAAATATATTGTTTAAATTAATAAAAACAAGCCAAATTAAATAAGAATTCTATTATTATTCTTGTTTGGTACAATTCTTAGTACATCAATTCAGAAAATAGGATCACGTTTCTATGAATTTTTTTCACCAAAATTGGCGATCCATCGTTTCATTTTATCAACATCAAGGAGTGATTCCGCTATCTTTCTGCGCTCGTTGATTTCTGCCGGCGGTTTTTCTCTGCCGGCTGCGTATATAGTGTTTTGTCTGCTTTTCGTGTGTAGATGACTGAAAATGTACAGTCAGAAATTAGATATAAAAATAAGGATGCAAATATTGAAGTGTATTACTTGTAATTATTGCAAAAAGTTTTCTAGACTATCGTTCCACTTTAGCGATTTGCTGATTCCATTGGATCTGTTACACTGGTCAAAATGTGACTATAAATGCTCAAATATACACATTATAACATAAAAACGTTCAGATAAACAGGAGTATATGAACAACATAGTGTGCAGATATTTTTCTACAGAGTCGCCACGAACTTCAACACATATTTGATACTTTGGCAACCGATGTAATTAATTATTAATAGTACAATTGAAATACATTTTTTTCAAAACAAAACCGAATTATTTTTACAATTTATACCTTACTATATAATTCATGGATTCGTGAGATTATGTACACGTGACAATGACCGTTATTGTGCAATAAAAACTGGATTATTGTGCTGAAATTCGACTAATTGTGCATAAAAGAATATGTCAGAGAAATAAGATATCGAAGGAGCGAAGGTTGATGATGCATACGTCAGAGTTCCGTACAGCAGCGACCTCATCTGCCGACGCGAACATTGATAGCGCGATTGGAACCTCTTTCAGTTCCCTTGCACCATACCTCGCAAACGCCGACAAACTACGTAACAGCAGTAGATCGTCACGTGACGATGCGCGTATAGGTCAGCTTTTTGGCCACAACGCATCCTTACACTTCGATGTCCTTCTATCCGAGACTCTTCGGTAGGAGTGGGGCAAAAAGGAGCTTGACGACGATTGCGAGGGATTCGACGTTCGGGGAGCGCCATCAATTCCCTGGCAACTTTGGTCCCGCTACATCTCGTTAAATGCAACATTTTCTCGCGTATTCACAATCACATAATAGCGACCTAAAATCATTTAATTGTTCAAATTATGTTAATATAGTGTGTATATAATGTTAATGTAGTGTAGTAATAATTTTATGTTTGTAACTGCAACAATTTTGCGGGACTAAATTAAATAATTATTGCGTCACTCCTTTGAATCCAAGAATAACTTATTTGTCTGAGAACCCTGGACTAAGGTTGATCGCCGTGAGGAAATTAGTGGATAGGTCCGTCATCTGCATTGCATACACCCTGCCTGGGAAGGCAGGTGCAATATCCTTGTAACGCGTTGTTGTTCGGGGTTACAATTGGTGACAACCCGACGTGATCGCAACGAGGGACAAGTTAGTGACAAACATCCGTCCTAAGTTTAAATAGACTGCTGACATCGATGCGTTCCATCCTCGCAACGCAAATGGGCTCGCCGTTGGACAAGATGGCGGAACTGGCAGATAAGGTCAAAGAGCTCAACCCGTCGGGACAATGCTCGGCTGTGACATCATCCGATAGCAAATTCGACGCCCTATGCGAGCAAATGGCTCGCCTAACACAACAAGTAGCAGAGCTGATAAAACGCGCCGCCGACGACACGGAACACTAACGAAGCCAGAACCGCGAATCAGCACGAGGTGGATGGCGAAGACGGAGCAGAACGCGAAGTCCATCCCAGCCAGGCGTCTGCTCGTATCACCGAAAATTCGGAGACCGCGCCACACGATGCACGACACCCTGCACACACGTCAGCCAGCAGGGAAACGAGACCGATCGGTCCTAGACGAGGCGAGGAGCGTCGATCCGAAAACAAGCCGCCTCTTCATGATGGATAAGGACACAAAGGTACAGTACCTCATCGATACCGGCGCCGACATTTGCGTATACCCGCGATCCCTAATAAAAGGACGACCGACGAAAAGCAACTACACCCTGTACGCAGCAAACGAGTCAAACATCTCGACGTATGGTGACATCGTCCTGCACCTAAACTTTAGGTTGCGTCGCGTCCTAACATGGAAATTTGTCATCGCGGACATTTCGAAACCAAT